TACTTACTTGGATACTTGGACGCTCGTTCTTCGGCCGATTCTCTTCAGCGACGAGCACACGCTTCCCTCCATTGTTTGCGATCTTGAGCGATTTGGACCCAGTGTTGGTCTGCAAAATCTTGGAGTTGCTTTAAGGAGTCTCTCCAACGGGTTGAAGGGCGGCCAACCTTGCGCTTCGCGTCCCTCGGATACCAGAGTGTGATGCGAGTGGTCCAGCGATCGTCCGTACGTCTGACCACATGTCCTGCCCATCTCTTCTTTGCATTCCACGCGTATACTACGGCATCAAAGATGCCGCGCAATTCGAGCGGCAAAGTCTGTACTGTGCAGATTTGCGACTCTCTGCTTCACGCGGAACCCATGCAGATTGGATAATTCAGCGAGGGTCGCCGTTACAATCTCGTTTGAGAGGCACGGTGTCAACGATCAAGGCGTAGACGCCTTTGTTCTCCGCCCCACGTCTCCGGATGCGTAAGAAAAGAGCAGGCAGAGCTCGTAGAGTCTAACACCGAGCAGCTCGTATTATCCGACTGCCCGAATGAGCTGGGCGCGCTCTCTTATGTCGTCCATTGGCTGTCCAAGCGCATTTTTTGCGTCTCATAATTTCTTCGCGCAAATTGTTGTCCATGGAGATGAGTCGACCAAGGTAAACGTAACGGTCGGTATCCGGTAGAGCAGTGCCTTCGAGTGTGATGGGTGACGCATCTGCCCACTCATTGCGCATGACCTCGGTCTTGCTCCGGTTCATCGTGAGGCCGATAGCTTTGCCGACGTTGTTCAGTTCCTCCACCATCCGCTGTAGCTCTGCTGAGTTCTGACTGATAAGGACAATGTCGTCTGCGAATCGTAGATTAGATAGCTTCTTTCCGTCGACGTTGATGCCTTTATCGTCCCAGTCGAGTTGCAGCATCGCGTGGTTGAGTGCGGTGGTGAACAGCTTGGGAGAAATCGTATCACCTTGTCTGACTCCTTTTTCGATCGGCACTCGCAGCTCTCGCTGAAAAATGCGGATAGTGGTAGATGTGTCCATAACGCATTTTTCCAGCAGGTTTATGTAGCACGGTTCGACACCAGCATGGTGCAGCGCATTCCAAATAGAGTTCAGTTCACACTATTCGAAATGCTTTCCGTATAAATCAATTGCAGCAGAGGAGCAAGAGATGTGGCTGCTTGTATTCCTTAGTTCGCTCGATTAACTGCGTGACAGTATGGATGTGGTCCATGCAACAGAAGCCCTTGCGAAACCCGGCCAGCCTGTTCCACTGGTTGATATTCATCCAGTTGTTTCTCGAGCCTGTTGAGGATCACCTTCGTGAACAACTTGTATGGCTGCGAAAGGAGGGCGATGGGCGGTAGTATTGTTCATTTTGCGCCGCATCGCTCTTTTTGCAACAAAAAGAAACTCTGTGCTTGACGTACTTCCATGAGTCCGGGATGTCTTGCTGTTATAGCGATTGGTGAGCTGTTTTATGACGGTGCGGGACGCCGACTTCAGAAAGTCTACTGAGATGCGGTCGGGCCCTGGGGCCTTCCCCGGCTTCATTTGACGCAAGGCGTGTTCCACCTCCCACTCTTCGATCTGTGGGGCCGCGTCCTGCGTGGGTGTAGGTATGCGTGAACTGGCCATCCGTTGATCGTAGAGAATCCGTGTAGAAATTGACGACGATCTCTTCAATCTTTGCTCTCGATGTCTGCGGTCTGCCCATCGCGTCTCGCATAACCGTGGTGACCGAGCGAGAGTCGTTGATGTCTCGACGACATCGTTTGAGACTCGCTCTCGCTTCCGCCGCTTCCTTCAGTCGAGTATTCTTGTAGCGCTGAATCGACTCCTTCACTGCGATGCGGCACGCTTTGTTGATCACGGCGCGCTCCAATGGTGTTGATGCAGGGTTACGATGGACGACAGCGCGTTGCTGTAGAAGTGCGCGAGCCTTGTCGTCGATTCTGCCATTCGAATCCGTCCTTGTTGGGATAGCCGATGCCATAGCGCAATGTCGAAGTCCTTCTATGAGCATAGTATAGTCTTGCGACAAGTCTTCCGCCTCCTGCCACGTATAGTGAGCGGCGGCCGTCTCCATGGCGTTTGTGTCGTAATGTGGCAACCGTATGGGAGGGGGTCGGAAGAAGTCACGTCTTCGGATTCTCGCTCGGAGACGAATTTTTGCTCTAACCAGCCTATGGTCGCTCCCAGTGCGGAATGCATCCACCACGCTGACGTCGAGCAGACTCCACTTCCTGTTAGTGAGAACGTGGTCGATTTCGCTGTGAGTCGTTGCATTCGGACTCTCCCACGTCCATCGCCGATCCTCTTTTTTCGTGAAGAAGCTGTTTCCGTGAAAGAGATTGCATTGCTCTAAGAGGTCCAGCAGACGTTCGCCGTTTTCGTTTGTTTCTCCGGTTCCGTGTGGTCCGATGCGCGCTGTCGCTGGCATCTCCTCATGGATGACTGCGTTGAAGTCTCCGACAACATATTTGTAGTAGGACCGTTCCCGCTTTATCTTCTCCTCTAATTCCTTGTAGAACGCGTCCTTTTCTTCGTCCGTAGCTGTTGACGTCGGTGCATAGCAGTTGATAATACTAACGAAAGTGCGCTTGTCGATGCGTAGACGTAGGATGGCCAGTCGAGGCGGGCCGATCAAACTATCGACTGAATCGACCATGTGCTCGAGCCGATGGTGGACGAGGAATCCAACACCACCGACATTTCTTCCGCTCAATTTGGCTCCGAGAACAATTAGGTGGCCATCGTTGGTCTTCCTGGTAGCTGCTTCTTTTGCTTTTGTTTCCTGGAGAGCAATGACATCGAAACGAAGTCTTTTGCTAGCCTCCATTAATATGGTTCGGTCGGCTATCGAGGCAATGGTGCGACAGTTGTAGGTGCAGACTCGTAGACAGTCCCCATGCCTCGAAAGCTTTTCGTCCTGTGCACTCCAAATCCTGCGGCGGTTTTTGTCTGCAGGTCCCTTCAGGTCGCCGTTTGCTCCAGTGCACGTAGAGCTCGTGCTTCCTTCTGCGCCGCTCCGGACCCTCTGTGTGCGTGTTGTAGCTTGTTTGTTTACCAATCCTCGGGTAGCTAACCCTTTGAGTGGTATCTACCCCCACGTGTTGGCCGGGATTATTTCCGTTTCGCGCAGTAAAGTACAGTTCCTCCGCACACTCACTCGAGGCCAGTGGTAGAATCTTGAGAGGGACAAATAAATAGGAATACAGATTAAACTATACTCTCCATTTACATACGAAGTAGAGGTGATGTAGTAGCAAGTGGCACACTTACCAAATCGAAGCCTGTGTCGACTCCTGCAGGCCAACCTAGTACCACCCCAGGGACGGTTTTGGACTCAAGACTCGTGTTGAATAAGAAGCACTGGGCCTCTACATCAGCCGCCCCAAAGAGTCATTTGTGAAGGCCACACCGCCATCGTAAGGCCACTGCGATCCAGGGGGAGAGGGGGGGGGGGGGGGGGGGGGGGGAGGGGGGGGGGTAGGGGGGGTGAATTCTGAAGTAGAATGCGTGTCGCATATCGAAAAGAATTGATCGGCGTCAAAGACTCTATCCAGTTACTCCATTAACATCATTTTTCCTCTGTAAACATGTGGGTGGGCCGATTACCAACTGCGAGGCAAATTTGGTGCCAACTTTATCACAACTCTCCATTCTAGCATCTTATCATAGGTTACCACAACGCCCTAATGCAATTTTTTATAGTGCAAGCAGGAAATACACGCATATTTAGACCGCGTCAGACTGAAAACGCGTGGAAGGCATTTAACAGCAAAACGATTACTATTACAGGTTGGCTGGCGTTGTTTTGAGAGCTGCGCGATTTTGGCTAAATCATCGAACGCCCATGAATAAATTCTCACGGCTAGTCCATAAACAGGCAACAACCTGTGTGTTGACACTTCCATTTTCCCATAAGAATAAAGTTTTCCTCCGGTATCATACTTGTCATAATACGGATACCCAGGAAATCATTAGGCGAGGAACGTTAGCAGTTCTCTGAACAACACCCACATACAGCTTATGCACACTGACCCTAATTGTTGCAAGAGTAATGAGCTAAAGCGGATTTCTCTATTGCGAAATTATTTGTTTTCAACAATTCTGTAGAGACATTCCCCAGCACTGTCTCTTTTGTTGTGTTCGGCATTGTCATTTTAAACTTGGTTTATAGGTCTATAGAAGATATCTGGCAGTTCCGAGGTTTCTGCAGGTACGAACTCTTCAGCAGGATTATGTTCAAATTTCTTTAAACAAGTGGATACTGGACAGGGGGACACCGCATTGCTATGGAGAATTCTGCGAAACGGGATCCTTGCCGCAACATTTCCTCGTCTGGTACGAGTCCACTATCCCAGTCTTCAGTGGAATCGCCTGAAACACTAAAGTGACTGCATACCTCATTTGAGCATGTGTGAGCGATGAGGCCCTTCCCGTGTGATCTCCCTTCTCGGAATTCTTTGAACGCTTCTCTCCTTTCAACCATCCCGAACGCTAAAAATCTACCGCTTGATTACAGAGTGAGGTTCTCTTGCTCTGAGTAATCCTTTTATTCTCTCCATAGCAGTCATTATTATCGAGTCCGTGCAGGGGCTTGCAACGGTTGGTCTTCGAGCTTTGCATTAATGAGTTGCCTCTTTCTGCAACTACACCCCTTTCAATTAGTGGCAACCGCTTCACCCTGTTCCGTCTCCGTCTAGCCACGGAAAAGGGATAACTTCTGTGATGGCGGATCGGATCACTTGTGAAAGGAAGGGGTCCTGCTTGCCAGTCAATGGCCAATCGTGTCAGTCCTAAACCGGAAAACATCTACACTGATCTTTGTCTGATCGCTACAGCCAGTTACCTTTGTGTTGCCGTCAGTCATTTACGACTTCACATAACAGTTGCAGGACCTCAAACATCATGATGGAATTCAAAACGGGGGCAACAACAATTAAAATTTCTAAACATAAATCAAGTAGCCGTGAAAAGCCGACTTGAAAACATTGCCCTAATGATTACTGATACCTACCCTCAGGGAAAAATGTGAGGATGTGGTCTACTCCCACCACCTCCACCTTGACAGGCAGAATCCAATCTAAAGACCTGTATTGTGATCTCCACAGACGACTATGGACTCCAATCAAGTGGTTCTAGGAGTGCAGAGCTCCCGTAACACGAGTGAGCTCCAACTGATTGGACCTACAGACAAAGGGTTGAGTCACAAATCTTTAGGTCGTGATTAGCTTTTGCCTTCACCTTCATTTACAGTATTGTTAACCCAACCCCTGTCACGGCGGTTCTCCTTAAAATATTTTACATTCTCCTTTAGTTCTCCTATCATCTGCCCTGTTCTTGATTTCATAAACGTCCTTCTTGGTGGCACACGTGTACCCCTCCTTAGAGGCTTCTGGCGGCAGCCTGTATTGGATTACGGACGCTGCTATTTTCCCGACGGACTGAAGCCATATGTTCCTACAAAAATGTGCTTAAAATGTGCCTATTGCACCATGTACACTGCTTACCCCGGAGATGTGGTGGGCGTGGCGGCGTATTTCACACGAACGTAACGCCAACTGCACCTATGATGGAACCTCGAAGTTTTGTGGCAATTGTTGCCATGACTTTGTCCAACTGTAATAACGACTCTAGTTGTACCAGAGATCATATCCCACGAAAAACGCATCCTATGTTGCCATGTTCAACTGAAGTAAGCAGTCACGCCCACCATATCTCCGGGATACGGAGTGTTATTGCTCTATGGAATTTCACTTTCAGTACTACTATTGCTTAGGCTTTAGGTGCTTTCCAGTCATGTGCTACATCAATTAGGTACTGCAGCGACTAGAAAAATAGAATAAGAGGATTACTTGGAACAAGAGAACCTCCCTCTAGTCCCTCAAGGAAATACGGTAGATTCTCACGACGTTCGAGGATGGATGCAAGAAAGGAGAAGTCAATCAGACGACTTTCACTGAAGAATTGATAAGTTGTTTCGAATGCCACAAGAAGATTTCTATGGGAAACACAGATGATGACGACAAAACATTTCACAGAAGGAAACGGGGAACCTTTGGAGCACTTACGAGGGAATCCCACACAGGGGACTTCAGGTGAAAGAGTTTAGTGGAAAATGTCTGAGCTTTTCCGCATAAGATTTGGCGTGTGAAGACCTAGAACCTATTAATACATCATACTCGATAATAAAACAATTCCAAAGGAATCAGGAGGTAATAATGACCACTAAACGAAGTGCAGAATAAAGTTAGATAGAGTGAGGTTATGCAGAGCAAACGGTAAGCCTGCTACCTTTATCACGATCCGCTGATGCGTTTCGCTCGGTCACACATAGAAATACCGATCGAAAAGGAAAAAAAAGGAACGCCCAGTGTAAAAACTGAGCTCGTGACAGTCAAAAGCCTCTGAGGTTTGATGGGCGGGGCAATCAGGGAGGCGTCAGAACTGTCATGCTGAAAGCCACAGCATCTTCGTTACTCCACACATGAAGCGCGCCCTGGGGACCTTTCTTAGAACTGGCCGATAGACAACTTGACCGAGAAAGCACATCTACGAAAAAGTTGAGCGCCAGAAATGCTCCCATAGAATGTCCCTCAGCGTACATGCATAAAGAGGGAAACAGAAAAACTGGGGCAATAACGAAGTAAAATTGCTCCCAGAAATAAGTGCCTTAAAGTGGGGGGGGGGGGAGCTACTGAAAAGCACATGCGAGAGACGGAAGTAGAATGTTAATTTCCGATCGTGCTAGGGGGGCGGTGAAATAAGGTGCCAAGCAAGTTGCAGCCTCCAGCACTTAGGAAGGCTGACCACTGCAGCCATTCCAGTACTGCAACGGCGTGCTGTCTTGGCGGCCTGGGAGGCTAAGGCTCCACACAGCCTGTAGGTGATGACTAATGAATCGGTCCCGTCTAGTGCTTAGTGGGAGTGGAAACCAAACAACCTCTTACAAAAGAAGAGAGTCAATAAAATAAGACATTCACTAAATCCATTGGTTAGGGCACGAGCTGTCTGAGCGTTTGTGGCAGATGCTAGAATACTGCCGCTTACGAAGATTGTGATGCGACAATTTTAGGTTACGTATTAACAGTCCGTTGTTTCCAGATTGAATAAAAGGCAATTGCGGCATATTATGAACCTATCATCCTTTCTTACTGTCGGAATCGACTCGTGCGTGGAAACCGGCATAGACATGCAAAAACGTGCGGAAATGGCTATGACTCGGGCGCATAATTGCCGGGAGCCAAAGGCATAACGGTGTCAAATAGGAAATTAGCTGAATTTGCACGCCCGCCAAATTCATAGATCTCTTAGCCATTAAATGACTCAACAGCTGTTTGTTACGCCTCAAGAGAGATGAAATTAAGCTTTCCGAATCACATCATAAATCTGATACGTGATAGCATGGTAGCATCACAGCAGCATTGACGACACATTGGTTTGGTCCCTCGCGAAAAAAGGTTTTTTTGAATTCGGATATCGGCCGATTTCGAAGTATAATAAGGCAAGCAGTCACCTAGATTTTTCCGGTTTCAAAGAAAACTCAAATAAGTGGAGAATTTCCATGGTGGGTCATTCAACGCTGCAGCGGTATTGTCATCGAGGATTATTCACTGGCATGATTGAACCAGGGCACATCGTTGTTGGGGATTCCCCAATAGGGGGAAGGGGTTGTATTTGGCTGCTGGGAGAGGGAAGGGTCGTATTTGGCTTGAGAAAAATTTATTTTGATAGTTGATTTTTCTTGTTTCAGGGACGTTGTAAAGGAAGGGGTCGAATTAGCTCGTTGTTGGGAGGGGGAGGGTCGTATTTCCCTTCTGACCTTCTGAGAAG